TCTGCATCTCCTTGATTTCTTGAAGGCAACAGATGATATTAAGGGCTCACACAAAGCACCGGATGTACTTTCTGCAGAGAGATGATACAGACTAATTCATTACCTGGTGCCTGCCTTATTCCTGCAGGAGACCAAGTTGTCCTAACCTTTAAACCCTCTGCCCAGCTTTTGGACAGGCTGTTATTTGCCCCAGCCGAGAACCCGGCACAGCTTCTCCACCAAGGTTGCTCTCATCTGTACCACCACAAACCCTAAATCCACAGCGAGCAACACCATCCCTACCTTTTCCTGAGCTCCACCACTGAGGAGTTCCTTCCTTCGCAGAAAGCAGAGGAGACACAAAGACCAGAAATATCCTTAAGCGCTCCACCAGCTGCTGCTGTTCCAGACTGTCCTACCCAAATACACAAGCTGGAACTCAGGTGAAGAAATATCCTCCCTCTGCTCCTTCTAAGAGAGGGCCGCTGGCCTCGTTTTCTTAATTTGAAACACCTGCAAGCAGCAAGCCCTCTAAAACCACACGCTTCTTGCAGGGCTTCTTCTAGAGTCAAGCGATGTTAAACGTACATTTTCTACAGAAATGGCTTTGCGCTCTGAAATAGCTAGATTTTTTTATCTTCAACTTCTTTTGATGCTGTTTGCTAGAAAAAGCTGAAATGGGCATTTTGCCCTGTTTAAATAAATTGACCATGTGCTGCTCCTTTCCTTAATTGGGAATTTTAACCTGTACCTGGACTTCAATTTTTCTGGTAAGTTAAGAGACCGGTGTAGAAGCACGTCGCTTGCTTTGAAACTCTTCTGATTAAATGAAAAAGTAGAAATTTATTTCCACTTAAATATTGCGAAGCTATACTTAAAATTACTTTACTAATGATTACAGCAATTTCATTTTCAGAAATGCAAATGAAATCTAGTTTTCTCCCTGCCTTTTTAAATGCCATGGGGCACAGCATCTCTCTATCAGGATAAACTGCCCTCCAAGAAGGGAGGTTGGGCATCGGTAAAGGTTCCTGAAGTCTCTGCTGGTAAAAGTCAAAGCAGAAGTAATTATAAACCATACTGAAGCGGCAACAGGATTTCATTTAAACCAAGATTTTGCAGGCGTTTCCTTAGCTGTAGCAGGAGTTTAACAAGCAGAGTCCCCAGGATACTTGGACACACACACAGATATTATCCATACTGGTACCCAGGACCTTTTCTTCAACGGAGCTACACGTGCAATGTAAAGCTACGTTTACGTTGCTGTGCCTTGCAATGTAAAGCTGGGAAAGAAGGGTGACACTCATCTAGAAGCTAGAATTAAACCCGCAACTGCTGATTTGCAGCACGCTCGTTCAGTCCAGCACATCCATGAGAACGTGATGGGAAAGGGGATGTCTCCACTGGCTCAAGGAGAGGCGAACCGTTTCTCGCTACTTCCATTTTCTGAAGTGGCAGAGCTCTCTCGCGGCGTTAACAGGGTTCGGACTTATGCTCGCCGAGCAAAAGGGAAATCTCCACCCCATGAAGAATTTGATGTCCCTGCAAACAACGACATCGACTGGGAAAGCCAATATCCCACCCCATGGTCCCCGCCCACCCCAGGGCTGCAGTGCTCTCCTGTCGAGGCGCACGGACCCGTGTCTTTGGTCCGTTGTGTATCCGTTCCACCTCGCCGCTCTCCAGATACCCCCCAGCCTGCCTCTCGGTGAGCTTCCAGCATGTATCAAAAGAGAAAAAGCCGCAGAATCTGCCCTCGGCGCAACTTCAGCTCAACAAGTTCCCCAGTGCCACCACCTGCCGCCTTTCTTTAACAAACCAAATAAATTACAAGGTAGATTTTCCTTAACCACAATTAATAAAGAACAGAAGAATCTTCCCCATAACTGGTCTTGCTGTCTTAAGAAGCAAAAGGATTTTTTTATCTTTTTCACCACAAACATTTTCCACCAGCAAATATTTTAATATTTTTAATGAAAAGTGCCGTTTCTGGAGAAGATTTAAAACAGTGACACAGCAGTAATAAAACACTGTACAATCCAACACTGAATAGAGAAGAAGCTTTCAAAAATAAACCTTTGTCAAGTGCAATGTAAAAAACATCATCATTACACACATGTATTATAAAACGACATTTATCTTTCCTCAACCGCACAAATTGATTTACCTGCCATTACCTATGGATTCTTTTCAGGTTCTCAGGGCAACACGAAGGGATCATTTTGCCCACGAATACACGTGAGTTTGGCACCCGCTGATTTCACCCAGTGCCCGCTGCCCCGGGAGAGAAACACCCGCCCCATCACTGAGCCAGAATACAGTGTTTAACACGTTATTGCGGGAAGCTGGATGTGCACAGAAGTATGAGCACACACATTTCTGCACGTAAAGTTGGGGACGTGAATTTACAGAATCGTCACTTCCGAAGTTGAGTGGCTAATTTAGGCATTAACAAGTCATGCATATTTAAGCTACGACATCTGTGAACCAAAACTGAGACGCGTGAAATACATACATTATGGAGCGCCTGAGGATTATTTTTCTCAAATCCAACAACGCTTTAGCAAGTTCCTCAGTGAGTACTTCAGACAGAGAGCTGATGAGAACATACAGCTGATACTTGAATCTATTTAATAAAATATAAGCAATCTACCATAAATTAACGTTGAGATTGCCTTCGCAGTCCATCATTAGTCACACCAAGAATATGCACTCTGGCGAATTTTACCGCTATTTTCTCCAATAATCAGCACATACTGCTTTTCCTACAAAGTCAGCATTTAACGTTGGCCTAAAGTAAAATGTAAGCAGAAGCATACAGGTTTTTTACATACATCAGAAGCAGCAAAGGATAAAATTGATATTCACTCTTAAATTCGGTATTTCTTCGGAGAAGTGCCTATTTGTGCAGCATTAACATTGCAGTAACAGCTTTTGCATATTCATTTTTTCTAGAAACAATAGCCCTAAACTTTGCAATAACAAAGGTATTGATGTATCAAGACGACTAGAACTCATCCTTAATATCCTCCACTCTTGGAATTCTTTTACGCTAAAAACCAAACCTTTGACAACACCAAATCCTTTCATATACCCAGGCTGCTGTCTTCATTGTTAATTTGAAAAATTAAAATGACAATTAAAAATCAAGCATACTATGGAATTATTTCATTTTTTTTTGTTCCAAACAATTCTTTACCAAATGTACTAAGTAAATTTATTTAAATTATGAGTACATTTCTTCTCAGCGTGGCAAACAGGAAAAAAAATCCAACAACTCAGTTCAACCAAGAAAAACCAAAACACAGAAACCTCCCCTCCCAAAAGGTCTTTTGGCAGTTGCGGAGAACCTGCAACCCACTTCCCCCATGCCTGAGCCCTCCCACTGGGGCTTAAGGCACTTTAAGGCCTTGTTAAGATTGCAATAATTGTTCCCAGAAACTGAATTTTGGGAGTACCAAGCGCTTAGAAAGCAGGAAAAATGCCATGAGCTGAAACGTGGCAGACACCTTGCTTTCACCGCTCTAAGGAATTCCCCGTTGAGCAGAGAGCAAACCCGGAATGGTTTTCCCACAAGAAAAAAGTTCAAGCACCCTGTAGATCACGTAGTAAAAAGGTGATGTTTAATGATGAAAAACATGGACTGTGCTTGTTACTGCGCCTGACACCAAGATTCATACTATAGATATGTTACCTGGGGATGACCTTTGAACAAAGGAGAAATTTCCCCAAAAGATCCTCAGCGTCTTGGTCTGTTGGATGGCACAGCAACGGTCATCAGAACCCAGAGCCTGGAAAACCTTGACTGAGACGGCGAGAACTATTTTGCATTGGCAAGGAAAACGTGTTTCCATAAAATTCTTGTACCTCTGCAATTGCCTGTCAACTAATCACAAGACTGATTTGTAGATACGTTTATACATTCTAAAATACTGTGTAGGCAACTTGTGAACAAAACCAAAAACATTTCAAAATCTGGTTTTCACCTGCTAGTCTAAATACATTTGGCGATTTTAAATATCAAATAATTAGGCCAATCTTTATGTAAATAAATACCAATTTACACTTACTTGAATTTTTCAGAGAACAGTTTTGAATCTCTTTTTAAGACTAAGTCGTAATATCTGTCCTTCCTGAAAAATATTTCAACAGTCAATCATACTTTTAACCATCTCGTTTAAGACAAGAAAAAGCCACTAGAGAAAGATCACTTTGAACAACATCACAAAGACAAAGATTCAGCAGAAGTGAGAGTCTATTGCAAAAAAAATAATCCCTTTGGGGGGGGGGGGGGGAATTTTGACTTAGGTGCTCAAACAGTTCATCATTTTTAGACAGGAATTCTACATAATTTCACACTTCTTTTAAATCTGAGTGTGAGACCACATTTTACAGAAAAGAAAGATATAAGGATTATTTTGTATTTTTCCCAGTAGAAATGATAGCTCTGATCAAAACAGAAAAAAAAATCTCTCATATATGTTCTCTATGAAAACCATACACGTTCTCTATGAAAACCATAACTACAGACAAGATTAAATACACCTGTTGATCAAGGCAAGAAACTTTGCGTTATTTATGCACAACGAAAAACAGTTTAAAAACAGTCTCCATCGAGATACCTGTTGGCACATCGTCCATCAAAAGTTCCTTTTTATCTCACCTGGGAAAGCCATTGTCTACAGACACTTTTCTCTGTTCAAAAAAGCATGCCAAGCATATGTGCACTTTCATCATAAAATAGTGAATTATAATAATTTGAGTTCACCCCACTGCCTAGTCAACCAGTGGGTTGCTGGGGGTTTTTTCCTCTAAATACTGTAGGCCATATGAAGTGTCTTCACCAAAATATCCAAGGACTTCATGATGAACACTTGTCTTTCCACTGTCCCCTTATATTTTATGTAAAGAAGAAGTATCAGTGGTTTCTCCTTGCACATACCAAACCAATCCCCTTACGGTTCCTGACGGCCCATGGGAAGGAGGACCCTCTCAAGCCGATGTAACGGGGGGATGCTGCATCACGACAGCGCGATCATCAGGACTGACACAAGCACGGCAACGCTGACTGTCCGCCTGCTGCCGTCCGACGTTCTGCGGGCATGCAATACGGCAAATACTGCGTTTGTGTGGTTGGTTGGTATTTCCACGTTGCAAATCATGCCTTCACAGCATGAAACACACTCCTGTTGAGAAAAAGGAGATGACTGGACTCATGGTAACTCACCAGCGGCTTTTAGAGATGTAGGTATGAAGGCAAAGGTTACAGCCGTTACAGCTAAACATACAGAGCATAGATACTACAATTTCTTTTCCAAGTCATGCACCACAGCCTTCCTGGAGCAAGTCATCCCCTAGTGCTGTCACCGGGCTCGGAAACTGCGACGTGACGCAATACAGCCACGTTCGCTGTACTGACAAGTTCACCAACATAACACAAAACAGAGAAAGCCTTCCACCACTTTCCCCTTCTAACACATGAGCTAACAAAATGAGTTTGCATGTTTCAAGTTTCAGCTTTTTAAGCTACAAAATTCTGACTGTAAAAACTCTGTTCCCATTCATTTTTCCCCTCAAGCTTTTGTGTCCAGTGTAGCTTTGCATGCTGGACTTCAGACTTGCTTTTTTCAGTTTTCTAGTGCCACAGAATCACTGACACAGCTGATTTTCAGGAGGAAATCTGAAAATAATTTTCCTTACTTGACACGCTTTACTAGAAAAGCCCAAGAGAATACTAATTTTTATCTAATCCAAAGTCATGAGAACTCTTATACAATAAAAATGCAGCAGAAGGCAGGCTGCATAGTCAGTTCACGCCTTCAGTCGACCAAAACCTGTTGAAATCAATGGAAGATGATTCAGACAACATCCAGATTCTTTTATCATTGATGTTTGTCTGCTTCGTCTTTGGTGTCTGAAATCTTTCATGTTAAGAATAACATAACTGGCCTTCTCAACTCTTAAGGAATTAGTGGATAATACTTTACTGCAGTGAATAATATGCTGATGGGGTATGCTTGATTATTAAGAATAAACTTTAATGGAGCATCCCAAGAATGAGAGAAGGCAGCAGCTCTAGCTTTTTGTCATGGAACAAAACCTCATTGAATCATAGAATGGTTTGAGTTGGAAGGGACCTTGAAGATCATCTCGTTCCAACCCCCCTGCCATGGGCAGGGACACCTCCCACCAGCCCAGGTTGCTCCAAGCCTCGTCCAACCTGGCCTTGAACACCTCCAGGGATGGGGCAGCCACAGCTTCTCGGGGCAACCCGTGCCAGGGGCTCACCCCCTGCACAGTGAAAAATTTCTTCGTAATATCCAATTTAAATCTCTCCTCTTCCAGTTTGAAGCCATTCCCCCTCATCCTATCACTACATGCCCTTGTGAAAAGTCCTTCTCCAGCTTTCTTCTAGGACCCCTTTATGGACTGGAAGGGGCTCTAAGGTCTCCCCTTTTTGGCCTTCTCTTCTCCAGGCTGAACCCCCCCAACTCTCCCAGCCTGTCCTCCCAGCAGAGGGGCTCCAGCCCTTCCTCAGTTGTATCTCCCTCACGCTCCTCCCTCCCTCAGCTGTACCTTGCTTAAGAGTGTGGCCTCCGCGGACAAACACAGTCTTGCTTTGTGTACTGTGCGCTGTTAGCCAAGCTGTGTGGTGCAGGGACACGACTGGACTCCCTAACACCCAGCCTGGCTTGCCCAAGGGCTGATGGTGACACAGCTGCAGCGCCGGCGCAGGCTGCGCTGCCTACCCGGGCTACTCAGAACCCGGAACCCAAGGCCCACGCACACACCAGCAATGCCCCCGAAAGCTCAAGTGTTTCTTTAGAAGTTGTTATTACACCCTGTCACACACAGGGGAGCAGGGGCAGTCATGCATTTGTTGGAGAAATTTGATTTCTAAAGTTAAATACTTGGAGAGCATTATCTTGGCACATCCTCTTCAGCGCAGCAGGAAAAACAAGTACTGGAACGCAAACCTCAAAAGCAATCTCTGCTCTTATAGAAGGAGTAGCGCTTACTGTGTGGCCACTTTCCCTGTGGTGGTGGCAGCCTACAAAATGGCATTCTTCTCCGGTAGCACATTTTTTGGTGACTGATGTACTCTTCCCATGGTCTGTGAAGAGATGAACTGTCAAACAGTACTGAGTACCTACAAAATAAATTTACAAATGTTGATTCGCATAAAGTATGTGCTCTTCTACAGGATGTAAAAACTTCACACAATTTAGCAAAATATTCCCATAAAAATGACTTATTTTGGCTGTATAAATCCATTTTTCTCCTTGATCAGCATTTAGGAAGAAATTATTTAGTGATGAAATCTTAAGCTTCACTGACCCTTCAAACTTCCAGAAAGGCTGCTATCATTTAAACTACTTATGAGAACTATAATCTACACATTTATCATCCATCCTCCCCTCCTTTTTCGCAGCGCATTCTTGCTTGCTTTGTTTCTGACGTTTCCTCATTCCTCTGGTTCATTTCTTCCCTTTTCCCACTGTTACCGTGAACATCACTGCCAAGAAAAACGAGGAAACATATTTCCATTTTTTTCCTATCTATCTGTCATTCCCCCATACAAGTATGATCCCCCGTCATTCAGGTCTTGCAGCTCCCAAGTGAGCCTATAGCCTAGAGAGACCATTATATCTCGGGACGGTATCCAAAAGGAAGGGGATAAGGCTACGAAGGCAATTCTCAAGTTCTTTTAAACCACAGCTTTAAAATGAATTCCTAGGAAGCACACAGCTACATGTATATACACACACACACACGATCAATCGATATATTATTAATATCTTATTAATACATTTATTACTCTATTAATAATATATGGCTCTATATGGTATAAAATGTTTTCTACATACTTATATATACAAAAATTAATTTTTCCACTGCTGCTTCGCCCTGTGAAATGGTCAAAATATTCAGCTCAGCAGAAATCGTATGACTCGGATATTACTAATAACATAACTGAGGGCACCACTGTGTTGGCATGTTAATCCCGTTCAGTTAGACTTCCAAAAGATGGCTGAGTCGGGGAGAAACAAATTTAACTGTCACAAAGAATCTCCATAGTACAGACGCACTTACTTTCAGGGCACCATCTATCTTCAGCCCATCTGTTACAGTTGTAATTGTCCACTGCATTGTCACAGGTAAAGCACTTAAAACTGTTTGGGAATGGAGTGGCTTTAAAAGTATTAAAATACAGTAAGTTTGCAAATATTAAGAAAAAAATATTCAAAATAATACTCTAAGTGCTTGTACACACACATACTTACAAAAACATATCACATACATTTACATATTTTCAATGATATATGACTGTTAGACGAATAAAACCTATAAAACAAGTTTTGTAGGAAGCTTTTACATTTTTAACTGGTTCTGCTGTGCCTGAACTTTAAAACACCTCCTCCTCTTTTCATTCTCTCACAATGCAAAATACCATTTAAGTAGTGGTGGGAAAAACAGGAAAGAGAGATCATCTTATATATATATATATGCACCATAGTACATCCGCATGGATGTTTGTACGGTTACACAAACACAATCTACATTCAAATGGCTTTTGATTCCTTTGATGAAAAAAAAACACATCTTCAAAAGCAGCTTCAGATCTCGATCTCCAACTCTGAAGAAGTCTGAACCCTTTGACAAAGGGATCAAGAGAACTATTTTAAAATCTTATTTACATTGTATAAAAATATAAATTATTTTAAGCTGCACAGTCCCCTAGATGCATATATATTTCTATTATATCTAGCTGTCTTGACTGTTTCAATGATATGTATCATGAACATCTTCTCCCCTTAAATGAAGGGATAGAACGCTGCTGATGCTAGATAAGAGGCAAAAAAAATGATGCTATTAGTGACAACTGGCTTCACAGGTCTCACAAGGTTTTTAATTACCTTCAGTTTGAATTAATTGCATACAGCACACCTCTTCTTTGCCTTACAAAAACCCCAACAAGATAAAAGACAAAACCCTCTGTTCTGTATTATTTATGAGAAATCCACTGCATAATTTGCTCTGCAGGAAGGCATTTCAGAGACAGAAAAATATAATAAAAGCACTTAAAATGTGAAAACTGTTGCCCTCGTGCAATTTTTAATTTAGCAATGCACACAATTGTTTGTTTTCATTAAGTCAACTTATAAAATCTTAGAAATACATTAAACTGCTGTGGGGTTTATTTTAAAAGTTTATTTCAAGTTTTATTTTAAACTTTTTATCCTTCATGTTTGAGGAAGACAAACACCTAAACCCCTAAGGATTGAAAGAATATGGTAATTAACTAAAATGTTAAGCTACAATTGCATGCACAAAAAAAAAGCATAACTGTCTACTTACGGTCTAGTGGAGGTCTCACGTTGTAAAAGTTGATGTTCTCAGCTGAAACCCAATTTCCTGAAAGGATGAGGAACGGAAGAAAGGCTCCGGCCAGCATGTGATGGAATAACAACATGCTGAGTCCTATTGTACAGGAAAAGCAAAACTCTGAGGCCGAGGAAAGAAAGGGAGTGCATTATTTAGGGGGAATCATAAAGAGCTGAGCATGTGGAACAATAAGTTTTCTATGAACTACTTCGGAAACCTGGCAAATTCAGTCCGTCGATCTGTACTGTGAAGATGGCTAATGCAAGCAGGCACGCAGTGACGAGCAACGCAAAGCTGAGCAGTTACTGCCTTCTGCTGGCCAAGATCCTGCACAAAGTACTTAAAATTTCCACAAATGTAAAAAAGTTAACGTTAGTTCTTTAATCTACCCGCCCTTCTAAGCGATGTCAATCTTATAAATTCCTTGTACGCATTCCTCAAAATCAACACCAAAACAGAGCCCCCTTATATCCTACTTGAAAGACAGGATTACAGTGCCATTAAAGACAGCAAAACGGAGACAAATGTCATTTTTAACACCAACAGCCCAGAACTGAAGACCAATTCCTTATCCAATATAGATCAACGTGCGTCTATTGACTTCAGACAAGCTACATCATCTGAATTGTAAGCGCTCTTATCAGTGGCACAGCATTAAAGAGCACGAGTGCAAGTAAGATTTATTTCTTTTTAAAGTGCATATAAAGGAAATGCTAAGGAAGAGGCCTGGTGACGTTACACCAGTTTTGGAGAACTGCAAAGTACAACGTTCAGAGAGACGAGGTGCATGTTTTAGGCGTGCTTTGCACATTTATTTGGGCCCCTTAGGTACTTTGGTGAGGCTTTATAGAGAAGAAGAACTAATCAAAGCACTCTTTGGTCAGTTTGATATTTAGATGTACACACATACGTACATACACAGAGGTACGTATGGCAAATAGCAGTGATACTGGAAACCCTGCTCAGATATTAAAAGGCAGAATCAGATTAAAGGGCACCGAGCCCATACAAATTCCCAGCAGGAGAAGCAAGCTGGAGCGGAGGCTCCCGCCAAGCCAGAGACGTGGCTCTGAGCTGCCAAGTGCATTCATTCAGAAATCTCTCTGCACACCCCGCGCAGGCCCATGTTCACGTACACTGCGTCTGCGCAAAAAAGGCTGAATTAATCCAACACTGAACTGAAAATGCTACTCAAAACCACAGCCGAGAAGTCAATAAATTTCCTTCTTTTTCCTAGGGTTTGTTTTTTTTTTTTTCCCAATTATTGAAATTATTTGAATTATTTGAAAGATGATTTTGCCAACAAACCAATCAAAAAGAAGTTCAACTTTTAGGCATGAGGAGTTTAGCCATCCTACTTAATTTATTTTTTTTTTAATCATGGCTTTGTGAGCTTATTTCAGTAGATACTGAGAAAGCTGCAGCATATCTCTACTTGCAGTGTACCTCCAAGACTATTTTCTGTGGATGGTCCAGACTTCTTCTGACTATAGCCCCGGATCTAAAGAAGGATTAAGAAGAAGAACCTGTGGAAAAAAAAAAAAAACAACAAAAAACCAGCAAGTGATCATCATAATTCTGTCCTGAAAGAAATAATTAGCTGAAACACTGTATGTCTTTCTTTATATTGAAAATGAAGATAGAAACTTAGAAGTGTGGTGTTTTTTATAATAAAATATCCAACGAAGCACCTCAACTACATAGTGTGGCTCTGCTATCCTATTGCAGATCCACAGACTCCCTCCTTCCTGTGACACCCCAATGTCAAAAAAGACAAACGGAAGACAAAAAGTGATGTAATGAGACTACTCAGTCCTTCCGCGGGTGTGAGTTCACCTCTCTCGCAAGGAAAAAACATCATTCAGGCAATGACCTGGGCAGGACCGGACTATATCAGATGAATATGTATTTCACACTCTAGAGATATCCAAACTTGCAAGACACGCTGTGACCAAAATAGAGCCACTAATCAAGGTAACCTAAAAGGGCAAAGACAATCCTCAGCCTCCACATTAGCGGTTATTATCAAACCATGAAGTAAACAGGTTCCTCAGTTCACTCCTTATTGAAACAAGAACACAAAAATGTTGGTGAAACCCCTAACACCGCCGCAAAATCCAAAATAAATCTAAAACATAGTCACAGTTCTCTCCAGTTGAGCCCATGATATTTGCACAGTGATATTCTGCAGCATTAAAGACGGGCTGTTTATAACCCATGTGCCTGCTCTCACTGACACATACTCGAGGTGCACAATTCAACTGTGCGCTTAGTTTTAGTGGGTTTTCTTAATTTCTTGAGAGACAAACCTGCGCATCATGACCAGATGCTTTTCTGCTGACAAGTCAACCCACATCACGTTCTGTCACTGAGCCTCTGAAGTCTATTTCATGACCCTTTAATATTCTCCAAGAAGGATCAGCAGAATGTGGCATTATCCAGGACAGGAGAAAGGGACAAGAGGAGACAGTGCTGCTACCACAATTCATGAATGATCCAACATACTATCTGACTTAATTTCTCCTTCCTTTAGCATTCTTAGCTCTATCAGTTTATGTTGGAGACAACACCTCTCCCTCAAGTTCCTTCTGTTTTACACAGGTCATTTTAAGTTGGTGCCTAAAACCTCCGTCCTTTGCCATCTGTGTCTACGGCTCTTAAACTCAATTTTGCTCACAAAATAACCTTTTATCCCAGTGTCAAGAGGCGTCAGAATTTCTATTCCAGCTGGCAAATTTCTTCTTTTCTTCACACACCGTAATTCCCTATATTATCCCATCCCACTCTTCTGCTTTAAAGTATTCTGGATCAGGCTTCATTGCTCTAACCAAGAGAAGGGAGCAGCACAGTGCACCAACCCCTTCATTAATACCATAACCACCATTCTGAATGAGTTGAAGAGTCAAAGTCAAAGTGATCACAAAATGGCATAGGTCCTGGAAGCAAAACACATTAGCATAATTTCTATAAAATGATATCTAAATATAAAATCATATATAAAATAGACAATCTGGAAAAAATTGACAGCTAAGGATGCACAAAGACTACTGTAAGAGATCTTCCATTTCCCACGCAGAGGAGAATTCTTACATGGTGATTTAAAAACTAAAATACCCCCAAAGCACAGAATATGAAACGCGATTATACACAATTGAATTCGCCGGCTCTTCAGCCACATCCCCTTTGGTGCAGAAGGCACATCCCTCCTCTCGCTCCATTTACAGGTTGTCCTTTCCCATTCTTTCCCATAGGGATCTCCTGTCATCCATGACTGGAGTCCAAACACGGAACGATGAGATGTTTGATCTGACTCTGTGCAGCCGCTCGGGCTGATGTTCTTCCCACTACTCTGCAGCCAGAGGTAACGCTACTTTCCTACAAGGTGGAATTTCACTCTGCTGAGCCACGTTCCCCCACCTCCACCTGCTCAGCCTTCCCACTAAAGCAGCGCGGCACCAAATGGAGCCCGTTGGGAAGCCACTCTTACCTCTGCCAGGATAAGCTGGTCCCCAAGCCTGGGAGGGAGTGACACAGGAACCTTCTGGTGCTACCTCAACTCTTTATCCTTTGCTGGGACACCATAAAATGTCTTCACATGCAGAATAAGTGCTAGCTCAAAATCAGAACTGCTCCAAATAACTTTAAAAATCACAGCAACTGGTACCAACGCGTGGAGTGAAAAAGACAGCAACTCCAGCACAAGTAGGTACTAATTTGCAGAGCCACAGGTTCCTGATGCTAATTACCTTCTCTTGTGTCCCTGGACAATCCGGGATCCAGTTGTCACTGCCTCCAAGAGGGCAGTGTCAGGCCCTCAGTGCACACAGGCTGCCAGAGCGCTTTTGGTAGGAGCATCTTTTTTGTCCCTCTAGTGTCAACATCCTTCTTCACGGGTCCCTTGCAAAACAGCTCTGTTTATGCCCTTTGAGCATCACAAGCAAGTTACTTTTAAACTGGCACGCCAGTTTTAATCAAGTGGCAAATTTCAGTGTATTTGGGGCAACTCAATAGCATTTAATTCTTTCCATTTCACCCTGTAGGAAGACAGGGTATTGAATCATTTCAATGCATATCAGTTGCAAAATTTCTCTCCTTAACGTATGTTTTCTGCAGTTTGTACCAGGTTGAGGAAAATTTGTCTTTAGGGGGAGACTGGTCTGTAACGTGATCTGATGCACCTGGATAGCAAATAAAAGGCACAATTACACTTGCGCCAGCTTTCTACAAATTCAAGCTCTCTCCTGCTCCCCTCCCCCCAGTTCCTATTGCTTTCCCCAGAGAAGCTCATGCCAAATGGAAAATTTTAGAGAACATAAATACAAAACAAAAAAAAAAAGCGAGTCTTCAGTTGGTGTAAAGCACAGTGAACCGACCTCACAATCTGCTGTAGTCAAAGGTGTCCTTGTTTGCTAACCAGGCCAATAAATAATGGATGTGGTTTGACATAGTCTTAGTTACACAGCTGCACCAGAAGTCCTTCTCAAATAAAATAGGAAAATATTGGCAAAAAAATGGCTTTCATGTCTTATCCGAAATCTTTAAAATGCTTATTTTCTTCAGAGTCTCTTATCTCTGTTGTGCTTTCATATAATATTATCTCGTAGCATGAGTAAAGATTTCATTATACACAATTAAGAACTCTCATTAACGAAGGAAAAATCTGTCACAATACAGAAGATTAACTTATATAAACAAGAGCAAACACGGAGACGCAGCTTTCCTGGGGTGAGGGAAGACGACCCAAGAGGGAAGGGCTGTTAATCTATGCTCTGTGAAGAATTGTAACTAAAGCACACTTCAAGAAAACAATGAGGAATACAATGGCTGAAATAACTATTATATTCCCAAAGGTTTTAAAGTTTATCTCGCAGTGTGTAACAGAAGAGTAGGAAGCAGTGTGCTTGATTTCTGATTTTAATAAAATTCAAGTCTGTCTACATTGTTTTTCCTGGCAGACTCTGCGGAGGATTAGCAGATTTAACATCAGATACGGAATGCAAATGAAACTTCCTCCTGTCATTTAGTAAGCAATTTTCAGGTGCTATTAGATAATTGCTAATGCTTATGTTAAGCTTGTTAAATACCACT